AAAAATGCTAAAAATCGGAACTGTCCTGCTAAAAGCAGGACGTCTGGTCACCTTATCTTAGATGCTTTCCCAAAGTATTGTCAGGCTTGACACCAAGGGGAAAATTTCTGCCCAGGCCATATGTGGGGAGGGGCTTGTTTGAGCTCATGGTCCCTGGTGGGAAAGTACAGGGTGTCCAGGAAACCATCCAAGAACAACAGGTGCCAAGATTTCTTTCCTTTAATGAAAGCAAATACATGAGCGAGGCTGGAAAACCTCTCTTTTAGACCGTGGTGGAATACACATAAAATAAAACATCCTTGCCAGCATTTTAACTTTACATTTCCATTGCATTATGTACATTCATAGTGCTGTTCACCCATCACCATGATCTAATCCCCAAACTTTCCAATCAGTCCAGACAGAAACCCCATACACTGTACACAGCCAACCCCTTGCTTCCTCCTCCAACCTTTGGCAACCACAAATCCATGTTGGTCTCAATGGATTAGCCTACTTGTTGATAGCACGTCTGTGGACTTACACAATAGCTCAACAAACCAGAACTAGAAAGAGAAGGAGCTGAATTTGGCTGTGACCCAGGCTCTTGGCTCATGACCCACGTTCATTTGACATGGCTTGCCACATTTGATTCTCTGATGATCCTTTAAAACTGTGTTTCCCAAAATGGGGATATGTATTCCAAGATGATTCTAGGGGTATAAGGGTAGGCATTCTTAAAAATTAAGGCGATACAGTTATTTTCACGTGTAATAGGTAAAACAGCCCTAGTCCATCCTACCTGTGGTTTCACAGGTGTTATTTCTTAGCAGGCAAAGTTTTAAACAAGACCTGCGCAAAGCAACTTGGCAAGTCAATAATGAGGCCGGGAAACAGATGTGGTCAGCATGACCCAGGACATGGACTGGGTGCCAGCAGGTGGTGCTGGATTCAAACCCTGCTTATCCAGCCCCAATGCCTCCTTCATTTAGGTCTCTACATGCGTTTAAATTGGTGTATGGGTCACAGTCTCTGTAATGGTTTAAAAAATCACAGAAGATAGGCAATCCCCAAATGCTGCTGTTAGACCAGTGGTTCTCAACCTTCCTCATGCCGTGACCCTTTCATACAGTTCCTCATGTGGTGGTGATCCCCCCAAACCATAAAATTATTTTCGTTGCTACTTCATCACTGTCATTTTGCCACTGTTATGAATTGGGCGACCCCTGTGAAAGGGTCATTCGAAACCCCCAGAGGGGCCGTGACCCACAGGTTAAGAACCACTATGTTAGAGTAATAATTCCCAACTATGGATAGCCTTGCTCCCCAAGACATGTATGGCAATGTTGGGGGACATTTTTGACTGCTATAACTGGGGGTGGGGAATGGTCCTATGGAAATGAAGTGGGTAGAGACTAAGGATGCTACTGAATTTTCTACAATGTGCAGCCTCCAGTGACAGATAATTACCTAGTCCAAACTGTCAATAGAGCCAAAGCTGAGAAGCCCTGTAATTGACCTAAATCTACAGATACTGTAAGATGTCTGCAGTATATTGAGTAAAAATATAAGTGTGCAGGGAGCTACTCAGCATTAAATCCACTTAAATATTTTGCATCTAAGAGTCAGAAAACTGGATGCATCAAGTGCAAGGTTACTTGGTTTGGGTTCGCTGCTATTTTATCCATTTTAATGATGCTTGGAATTTTCCCAGTGAAGCTGTATGACTAATGAAGGGAAATACCAGAATGGGACAAGAGGCCAAGCAGGGAAAGGAGCACAGCACAACTCCAGGATGACACCTTTTACAAGCTCAGTGTGAATGATGTCCCGGGGTGGGGCCTAGTAGTGGCCTTGGTGGCTTTCACGCTTCTAAAACACTACCTAAAGCCTCCACGGATGACTGTGACCCTGTGGCTGTGCAATGAATGAATTGCGTGGCCACTGTTTGTGTTAGGCTCCATGCCACCAGGACTTTTTGTGGTCAAGTGGATAAGTTGACTCCAACTCATGGTCACCCCATGTGTACTGAAAGTTCTCATGATGTGATCTTGGGAAGCAAATTCTAGGCCTGTCATCTGAGATGCCTCTGTGGGAGTTCAAGTTGCCACTCGGTCAGTGAGTAGCCAGGAGACACGTGCTTAGTGCATCGCAAACACTCTTTAGGGTCCTAAGCAGATCCAAATTAGCACACAGAGGGGGAGGACAAAAGACCCGTCAACTGTGGGACGGTTGAGTTAACCCAAGTGTCCTCTGACTTTCCCAGGTGCCTACCAGCTGGGCTTGCAATGTGGGGCCCCTGGGACCCCCGAGGCCAACATCTGTTTTGACCCCTGCCAGAATCATACCCAGCTGGACGAACCCTCCAGAAGCATCGAGTACGAGTACACAGGAGGCGTCTACCTATGTGATAACCAACTGACAGGCTGGTACCGCTTCGTGGGTGAAGGGGGCATCCAGATGCCAGAGACGTGTGGCCCAGTCTACCGCTGCCAGACGGCTGCTCCCATGTGGCTGAATGGGACCCATCCCTCCAGCGAGGAAGGCATTGTCAACCGTACTGCATGTGCTCACTGGAGTGGCAACTGCTGCTTCTGGAAGGAGGAGGTGTTGGTGAAGGCCTGCCCGGCTGGGTACTATGTGTACCGGTTTCAGGGCACAGCCAACTGCTATCTGAGATATTGCACAGGTGAGCAGCGAGGTTCAGCGGCACTTCCAGGGCAGGAGGCCCTAGTACAACTCTCATGGTCAGGAGCGTTTGAGTGGGGCGGGGCTGGAGTAAAAGACACAAAACCAATTACTGCCCGGTGTGACTATATCCCAAGGGCTGTCAGATCTCCCAACAGCTCTAGAACCCTGTTTCCCCAAAAATAAGACAGTGTCTTATATTCATTTTTGCTCCCAAAGATGCGCTAGGTCTTATTTTCAGGGGCTGTCTTATTTTTCCATGAAGAAGAACACGGTACACATTTATTGTTTATTATTTTATCGTTCAATTAAAAGAGACCTCGTACTTTCTGGCTGCTCTGGCTGCGCTGTGGCCAACAGTGAGCTGCGCGGTGGTGCCCGCCACTACAGTCCATAGTCCAGAGTTAAGGTAGCTTCGGAGGGCCTTATTTTCGGGAGGTCTTATTTTTGGGGGGATGCCTTATATTTCAGCGAGAGGCAAAACTGTAAGTAGGTCTTATTTTCGGAGGATGTCTTACTTTCGGGGAAGCAGGGTAAAGGCAGAGGTTCCGATTCCAGGGTGAAAGCTGCCGAATCAATGCTGTGTTGCATACTTCTAAGCACTTGAGATCTTTGGGGTTTGAGTTCCAGTTTGGCAAGTTTGTTTTATCTCCGTTTTCTGGTCGGAAGGGTGGGTAATGGCAAAAAATAACCACTCCCAGGGAGTGTGCCCAGTGTCCCTGCTGCTATTTAAAGGGCGCTTGAAATAGGATGAACAACTTTTAACAATTAGATCGTATTTAGCTTTAAGCATATTGGCAAATTGAAAATCATCTTAGCAACTTCATGAGATAGGGGCTCCAATTACCCTCGAGGATGAATCTGGGGCACAGAGAAGTTTTTTTGTAAATCATTTTATTGGGGGCGCTTACAGTTCATCCATCCATTCATTGTGTCAAGCACATTTGTACCTATGTTGCCATCATCATTTTCAAAACATTTTCTTTCTACTTGAGCCCTGGGTATCAGCTCATTCCCCTCGTGAACCCTTGATAATTTATAAATTATTATTCTTTTCATCTTACACCAACTGCTGTCTCCCTTCACCCACTTTTCCGTTGTTTGTCCCCCTGGGAGGGGGTTATATGTAGATCAATGTGATTAGTTCCCCCTTTCT